TCTCTCTGTATGTGTATATGCATATGCACATGTATATGAAATTACAGGTATGTGTGTGCACACATGCATGTACATGTACATGTACATGTACATGTACATGTACATGTACATGTACATATATATATACACATCTCTCTCTGTCACTCTCTCTTCTTCCTCAGGGCATAAGGGGCATCTGAAGCACCCCGGCCGCCAGGGCCCTCCAATGATTATGGCACTTTCGGGAGGACTGCGACACATGGTGCAAAGCAGATTTAACAACAAGAAAAAACATAAGTAACTAGAAAAAGAAAATAACAAAAATCACAATCATCATCATAACAATAAACATTATAACAATAACAAAGTGAAACAACAATCATTGCTACTATTGCTGCTTTCAATTCACTACAGTTCTTATCGTTATACATATATACATATATACCTACATACATACATACATACATACATACATTCATTCATTCATTCATTCATTCATTCAAGAAGGGCACCCGGTCCTTGGGAGGCATGGCGATGACCACCTCCTGAGAATTGGATTCGAGGGTTCCTTTAGGGTTTCTAAGCGGGTTCTGGAAGGGTTCAGAGTCAAAGGGCTTGGGGTTTGGAGTCTAAGGCTAGCTGGAAGGTTCAAGGGTTAAGGGCTTCAGCACTCACAGCTTGGACAAGCCTGGCGATGTTCCTGGCATGTCGAAGCACATTGGCCAATGCTCTTTTGCACGACAGTTAGCGATGCTCCCGAACCGTCTCAAAATCCCACTAACCACGGCGCGCACTACAGCTGTTCACCCGATGGACAAAGCCCATCCCGGCGCAGCTTTCCCGCGCCCATGAGTCCAAGGGACACTCAGGGCCAGGGCTGAGTTCGGAAAGCTTTGTTTGACGGGAAAGGTTCACATCTCGGCCTTGCACAAAAGTTCAAAGAATCGGCCCCGTCCGCCCTCAGAAGGGCGACTCCTCCTCAGTCTTCGACTTCCAATCGGCCATCCTGGCCTTCGCGCGCGGGCACGAGACCCTTTCGCTGTAGAATTCGCCACTTGTCTTTGATCTGCATCCCACTCCTGTGTTGCAGGCCACAGCACTTGGAAATCATGTTCCACTGCTTTCCGTACACTCGGAAGCCTTCGAGCAGGCGCTGCTCTTCCCCTTCAGTCCAGGCGCTGTACTCCTTCCTCGACTTCGGGGCTCCCCCTTGCGCCACGAAGCTGTCGCCCTCCAAGATCTGCGCAAAGGAGTGCACTCTTTTGCCCGGCCGCCGCCCCGGAAGACCCTCTTCCAAGGAAGGCAGCTCGCTGGCTAACGGGGCCTCGAAGATGCTGTTGCCCCGAGAAGGAGATCCTTTGCTCGACTCCCCAGGCCTCGGAGCTTCTCCCGGCACGGTAGAGGCCTGCGAGTCTTCGATGGGATCCTCTTCGACATGCTTCGGCAGCATTTCAAGGCTCAACTTCCGCGCTGCTTGGAAGACCTCGCCTGAGAGCCGGTCCGGGCTTGCTGCGCGCGAGGCTGGACCCTCCTCCAGGCCGATGTCCCGAACTTCCAGAAGCGCGTCGATGTTGGGCGCCTTGGCCCAATCGCGAGCCGCCTTGCTGAGCCGCTCCCCTGGGTGAGATAGCAGGCACAGGACCTTTGCCAAACGTGCGACCAGCCGCAGACGCCGGCACTGCAGCAGCGCCTCGCGAGAGACGCCCACGGTCTTCTCGCAAAGTGCATTCGCTCCCTCGCTGAATGCATTGGCCCCGTTGAAGTCGGCGTTCAAAAGGTGAAAGGCAGCGGCATCGACCTCTCGGACGGTGGCCTCCGCCGCTTTTCCCATGTGGGAGTCGCAATCGGGTTACAATCACAAGCTGGAGGAAGCTGAACGTAACTAGACTTCAACGAAAGCCACTAGCATGCACAAGGCCAACGCGGACATGTGTTGCTGCTACTTGCTAGCTATCAAACGTCCATTAGCCGAGTCTGCTGCATGCTTTATGCTTGAGCCAAATCGCCTGGGGTTCGGAGTCTTTGGGTTTCAGGACAGACTACTTGGTGGTCGCCCCTGTTTTCGAAACTCCCATACGTAGGAATGTAGCGTGCGGGCACGATTTAGGTTGCGAGTTCTCGAAGCAAGGCCACAGCAACACCTGGTAACTGTAGTCGGACTGTCAGTAATCAGCATTGTGGCTAGATTTGGGATCTAAGCCATGAGCACAGAAGGTAAAGGCATTCGCTGAGCTGAGCTTGCGAATTACCCCGACGCCCATCCAGATCGCTTCACCGAACAGCTTCATTGCATCACGCCTGCTTCTCGGACGTTGCCGTGTACATCTCAAAGTCACACCAGACCTCATCACCGCCGAGCACATCACGAACTGTAACCATGCGCAGTCGTACTGATCGTGGCAAGACGTGGCCGAAGTCTGCTGTGGTGGTAGCAGCAGGGCAAATAATACCAGCTTTTGCCGACTAGACCGGAGAAGTTCCCAGCAGAACTAGCAAAATCTTGGGGGGCCGTTTAGTGCTTGCCGAAGTTCTCGGCAGAGCTTCACAAACAAGCATTTGGGAGGCCTTCCAGTGCTTACGAGCATAAGAACTCAGCAGCCGTACATTAGAGCTAGAGCAGCTGAGCTTCAAGCAAAAAGTGACTTGCCTGATGCCACCTGAAGCGAAACTCTGCAGGGCTGCAGCCTCAACTAAGGTTCCGGCACGCTTGATGTAGAAAGGATCCTTCCACGGGGCCATCATGGCCACAATCCTTAGTGCTTGGCGTTCAGGGGTTTAGGGGTTGAGGGATTTAGGGATTCCAAGGGTTTAGGGGATTAGATGTTAGAGGTTCAGGGGTTTAAAGTGCTTTAGGCTTTTAGGGTCTTTGGAGTTTGTTGAACATCTTGTTGACACAGGAGGGCACTGCAATGCCCCAAGCCCTCTTACATACTAAGACTATATTATCCGTTACTATGCATTGAGTTTAAGCTTCAAGGCTCAAGGTTTCAGCTCCGGGGCATCCGGATTCTCGGCTGCATGGGACTCCGCGTGCGTCCCTCTGCATGGGGGGTAGTTCTCCGAATTAGGGTTTACGCTCTCACAACTCGGACTAGCCAGGCGAGGTTCATGGTGCGAAGCTCCGAATTAGGGTTTAGGTTTTAGGGTTTCGGCTTCAGGGTTTTAGGGTTGAGGGTTTAGGGTTTAGGGCTTGCCGCGGAATAGCGCGCAGGCGACAATCTCTTGCGACAAGGTTGCGTCGAGCGCATCGTACTGTGGCGACGAGCTGTGCAAGCCTGTCTGTAGAAGGCTTTTTCTTTCTTTGTTTCTTTCCCAGCCCACGCCGGAAAAGATAGCAAGCCACCCAAACCCATTCCTTCTAGGGTTTCGGCCTAAAGTCATGCCCTCCCGCTTTTCTTCTTTTCTAGCAGTAAGGCAAAGTAGGGCAGAGCAGGGCAGAGCTCGCAGCCCCGGCCATTTTGGGGTGGCCTCCTGCCCTGGAAAAGCGCTCCAGGGGATCAGGCTTGGGGTTTAGGGTGATGACTTTCTCAAGGGACCGCTGGTGTCGAGGAGAACGTGATACGGTACCGGGTACGACGTGGGGCCTAGGGTCCCCATGGCTGTGGAACGGCGGGCGAGCGTCGTCGAGGGGCTAAAGCGCCGCCCACCCACGGAGGTGGGCGGCCCAGGACTTGAGTTTAGGGTTTAAGGTTCAGGGTTTAGGGTTTGGGGTTTAGGATTCAGGGCTTAGGCACCCTTATAAAAGGACCCTACAAGGGAGACTAATTTAGATAACTGCCCATGTGCTTACTTGGGGTTTACGGTTTAGGGTTTCGGCACTCACACTGGGACAATCCAGTTCGAGAACATCTTTGACCACATCCGAGAGGTACATTCACGAACCCACGAGCATCTAAGACACTGTCCCCAAACACCCAAGCAGCCCAAACCTGAATTTCACGCATCTCCTAACTTGCTGAGGGGTTTGCTTGCCGATGCCTTCCACTCGATCTCCGAAAGCTTTCCTCAGCACGCAAAGCTTTGAGATTCTTGGCGCCTTTTACCTATACACACCCCAAACTCCCCAAACCACCCTAAACCCTAAACCTTTATGAACCAGACCCTAAACCCTAAGCCCGAAACCCCTAAAACCTACATCTCCTCCACCCTAAAACCCTAAAAGCAGATCAGATCACCTTGACCCAAGCCCTTTTACTCGACGCAAGCTCAGGCTGTTTTTTTGAGTATCCCCTATTCACTGGATGTTGGGCTCGGGATGCCCCTCAAGCAGCCGCAATACGAAAGGTGGGAGGCCCAAGAGTCGCGTTGGGCTTTTTTTTGCGATTTTTTGCAAAGCCTCTTCCAGGGCCCCCGCTTGAACTCTTCGAAGGGGACGGTTTCGCCCGCTGCCTCCGTCTCCTTCACCCTGGCAGACTCTCCGTTAAACTGATGTTTGGGGCTTAGTCGTGGGCGGCGGCGCGGCTGTCGGAGTAGTCGCAAGAGGATGGAGGAGGAGTGGTGGGCAGTGGTCGTGGGGGTAGCCCTATGTCGTTGCGGGTGTTGTCACCACTACCAATTCTCCAAGCAGCCTGTGCTGGTTGATGCAGAAGCAGCACATCCATGTGTACCTTGACTGGCCGTCGGGCTAAGGAGTCATGAGTCAGGGTTGGCAGCATGCGGGAAGAGCTCTAAGGACTTTAATACCAAAGCTGGGAACATACATCGACACTAGCAACGTGCTGCAGCTCACACTTGAGGATCCGGGCGAGATGAAACCGGACCAAAACCGAAGAAGCGGCATTCCTGCATGAAAACCTGAAACCAAACCTTTTGCCAAGACCCTAATCCTAATATACCATCAGTAGGCGGAGGGTATGTTAAGGAATAGTACTACTAGCAATATGAAGGAACCCTGACAAGAGTACTAGAGATATTCGGGTACGCTAAGGAACAGTACTAGACCCTAAGCCCTAAACCCCTGAACCCCTGACCCCTAACCCCCAAACCCCTAAACCCCTAAAGCCCTAAACCCCTAGACCCCTGGATTCCTAAACCCCTGAACTCCTAAACCCCTGACCCCTAACTCCTAAACCCCTTTTTGCACTCCTAAACCCCTTTTTGCATCCAGGCCTATTGCGACTGCCGGCCTAAACCCCTAAACCCCTAAACCCCCAACCCGGAGGAACCCTAAACCCTTTTTTGAACCCAGACTCTAAACCCTAAACCC